GGTAAAGCAGTAAAACTACAACCTCTAAAGAAATACCTTTTAGGCGGACCTTATCAGCTATTTAGACTAAAAAAATTTGAATCTAAAAAACTATTGATCAATAATTAATCTTAAGTTGATTATTTGTAAACATTGCTAAAAATGCATGCCAAACCTTTAACACTAGGACTCCCAGAATTTTGACACTACCAGAAATTCCACTGGAAGTCAATTTGATGGGTGGCATTTTTCCTAATCGAACGCAAGAGTAGTGATGATGTCATCGACTGAAATTATTCTGGTGAGTAATATAAACCTATTGTGGATATGCAGACCTAAAAACAGTTCTAATATGTATTCATTTCTAAAGGCTGTATTATATTGTATTAAAAATAAATCAGTTAAATACATAAGACTGTTTTACTACACAGGTTCAAAATGTGAAATAACATATTATTTGCAGAATTTGATTGATTCCTCCCGCACATTTCTTGCACATCACCTTTTCATGTTTAATACATACATTATATGGGAAGTCTTTTATGCAGTGCTGATGCACCTGGCACTCTTTTCTTTCCCTCGCATAAGCTGCTCTTCTGCTGTGGAAGGGTAACTTTGGGCTGTCCGGAGGGCATGTGGTTGGCACGCAACTATTTTACCAGTTTAAGGATAAAATCTCTGCGTAAGACGGTGGCGTTCCAATGCGTTTAGAGCTGCTATGTCCAAGAGATTGTAAAAGACAGTCACAAGCCCCCTTCACGACTGAGCTTTTCCAGAATACTTTCTAACCATCAGAACCAACACATCAGTTTCATTGTCTGCTTGTTTTTATATGTTGTTGTAAATGTTAAATAAAACTTATTAAAATCAAAAAAAAAAAAAGTCTCTGATTTCTAAGAAAAAAACATCCCACAACTGTCTCGTTCAGTTTTAGGATTACAATGTTCATCAAACAGAGCCATCATAGCGCTTACTGCCCTTCTAGCTATTGTTTCCGCTCTCCGGCATAGTTATTAGCTCCATTCCTTTCTCCCCAAATGAAGTAGTTGAACAGCTTTAGGGGAAGGTGGTGACTTAGTGCTTAGAGCATGGCACTTAGGTCCTCGACTCCCACAGACTGCCACTCAGGCTCTTTGATCAAGACCCTGAAACCCCAGACCGCTCCTCCGGCACCGCAAAGTGGCAGCCCCCCCCCGCAAAAACCAGTTGAACAGCTTTACACTTGTACTTTCTTCCACACCTGGTATGGTGAGGTCTGTGTATAATATGAATTCCTCCCTCCAACTTTCACATGTCTTTGATAGATTGGTAGAGTCAAAAACCAATGTGGGTGGTGGTCTCAGACCTCCCATCACAAAGTCCGTCATACTCTGCCCCGCGCCTATCGGTTCAGACTTCAGCAGCAAATGACTGTTTTTCTTCAGCACCAAATTTTTATATTTTTATCTCTTCTCGGACAACCTTACTTTGCACAACTATTTCTTCATCTGAACTGCTATCTTCTAATTCCTGGTTATTTCCTTGATTCTCAAACCACCTTTCCCTCCTTTTACCTCCTCTATCTCCCTTTCTTACTGTACTTGAAACTGGCATCCAGTCATCCTCATCTACCCGATTTGCCATTTTGTTCCATTCACCAACCTGTCAGGCAAAAACGTTTTTTACAAATAACTGCCAGTACTTGCTGTAACAACTACCAAAGCCTTCACACACTTTCGCAAAGTGTCTAGTAGTTCACCACTAAAACCTACAGGACAGCGGCCCTTGAGGACTGACTCTGGGTGCCATCCGGTGCGTCCCGCACTCATAGCTGTCCCCCTGGGAACATGTAATAAACATTAGTCCCGTAACAACATCCCTGCCAACCTTTGTGTGATTATAGTAGACCATGGGCTCTGGTTTGGCAAAAGTTTCCCTATTGTCTGATGGTTCAATGATACATCTGCATTTTGCCGGGGGTGGTGGATCATCACCAAGTCTACCGCATCCTACCGACCAGTCATCATCACCAGTCCTTAATCTCTGCCCTAATCGCTCTCATCAATATTTTAAAGCATTTCTAAAGACTGTTTTGCTGTATGATTTCTTCTGAAAGCCATTTTTCCGTATTAGTCAAAGAATTCAAGAGTTTTCTAGGTAGAAAGTCAGTTGCTAGGTAAAGGCACCGAATATCATTTAACCGCGCGCAAAATTTCAAATGCAACTAATAGAACCATCAAAATGAGCGCTGTGGGAGAGCGAAGTAGAAGTAATCATATTTATTTTCTATGTTTTACTTTTATTATAGAAACAACATGAAAATGAATATAGAAGATTTAGAAACAGAAAAAGTCAGTTAAAATAACCAACATAAGATTAATGTAAATAAAGCTCTTTCACTTCAAAATCTCAGAACCGTCAAAATGACTGCCTCTGGTTTCTATTGTTAAGATTTCTGATAGGAAAAGACATTGAAAACTGCAGATAAATTCTTTATACAATGTGTACATTATTTTACTTTGTCCTATAATTAAAATTCCAATAAAAAAACATAAGTTACCGTTTGTCACCTAAAAGAATAAGAGAAAATTCAAGGAGTAGAAGCTGAACCCAGCTGTGTTCAACAACTCTCCTTGTTCAGACTGTTTATTTCCCTGACGGATTGTCATGATCATCCTGCTACTGCTTTGACAAAATGACAAGTTCTCCTTTCAATGTCACCACTCCTATCTTTGTAGCTTTAAATCAGATATGTGTGGGGAGGTTGGAGTAGTTAGGATACACCAACACCGCAGTTCACAGCACTAAGCGTCCGCTGCCAAGGCAGGGAGTCGTCACCACAGCCAACAACCAATCTATTATTGTAAAATGTGTTCACTGTCATTTAAGTCAGATCCATATCAGAATTTCAAATGCAGCACAACTTTAGATAATTACACTGAGAAAGTGGATAATCGATAGAATCAAGGACTATGGAGTGTCCTTGAGGAAGCCAATTAAACAATTGCAGCTCAAGTAGTCATTTTGATGGGGTAATCCAATGCATAAATGATGATTTAAAGAGAAAAAGAATCACCCTTCCTAAGCTGCTGGTACAGCAGAAACAGAAGAGATCCAAGTCAGATGGAAAAGAGTTGAAATTTACACCAACCCCATTAGTGTCAGGTACGGCTTTTTCTGTCGGTTGGGCAAGTTTAGGTGCGCGTTCAGACAGTCTGAAACTTGAATCAGCATCAGCGTGGACACACAATACTGCGCACCTGTAATAACAGCCTGTCACCGTGTGCAAAGCTAGCGGTTCAGCGTGTTTCTAGGAAGCCGCATAAAGGGTGTCGGGGGCGAAACAGTCAGAAACCAGAGGCTTTAAACAGAAGAAAGCAGGGGCCAGTGTCTCAGAGGTCCTACCGAGTCAACCCCTCCCCTTGTGGAAACGGAGCAGGCAGCTGATGAAATACATGAAGGTGTAACTCAACGCCCTTATGAGAAGGCAAAAGACACAATAACAGGAGGGGGCTCACCTGCAGCTCTGTGATCGGCTTTGTCTCAAGCCGACAAGGGTCTGTTCTGTTTATTTTGCAGAGGGACTGCCTGCTAACGACTCACTGCGCTCTGTGCTTATGTTTGCTCAAGCTGCAAACTCGAATGCCCAATTACTACAAATTAGAATCGATCTCAGATTATTGCAGTTATTGCAAACTGCCTCCATCCACTTCTAAAGATGGTCTGCTGCTTCTCAAAGCCTTTAATTTAACTTAATAACAACACTGATGATCTCCGAGTTGGTAACCTCTTTAATGAAGAATTAAGGTTAAGATTTTGGTTGGAACTGTGCTTCACAGTTCTAAACTTCTATAGCCATATGTCCCCCACCAGCACCCAACACAAATGTTATCACAGCTTATTATAAAGGCTCTATTTGGTGATTGCAGGAATTGCTTTTTCAAATATTATTTAAATCACAGAAAACTAAGAACTCACAATCAATTTTGATCTGGAAAAGCAAAAAATATAGATGCATTGCAAGCAATAGATGTTAATTTTGATGCACTTTTTCTAGTTGATTAAGAATGAGGTAAAAGTTAAGGATCAATCAGCCAAAGTCTAAACAGATTCTTCTCTAATATTAACCATCTAAGCAAAAGTTTAAGCTTAAAATTTTATCTTTTTATGTCAATTTATTGACCTGAAGCCTAGTTTGACCACCAAAGGACGCAAATGATGTTGCTTAAAATCACCAACATGCAAAAAAAGGAAAAAAAACTGGAAAAAAAATAAATAAATTATATATATATATATATAATATATATAGAACGAATTTGTGCAATAATGATCCAATATCTTGCCCAATTATCTCTGAAGATTAACTGGACATTTCTTATCCTCAATAAACATCCCGAATTTAAACTATTGAGCAATGTGCAGAGGTCACCTACTTTATGTGAAGCTGATCTGAAAATGACACTTATCTTAATCTCATCTCAAACTCAACTTAAAGTTGCAAAAACAAAAATTTATTTTGCACTGAAATTCAAGAACTAATTAAACCCATTAGATAAACCATCTGTTTAATTGTGCGCTAAGCTCAAAGATATTCAGCCTTACTTTTTATTTCTGCAGAGAAATTTTTATTTGTGTCTTCCAAACATGTTAAGTCGTAGAAAACATATCGGTTGTTTAATCTCTGCAAACGCAGTTGATATATTTAGTTAGTTTGAAAGTTTGAAGTTGAACCACGTCGATTATGATGCGGCGCACGCGACCTAAGAGCGCAGCGCTGTCAGTCCGGATCAAAGAGAAATGTCATCAGCACTTTCCAATCAAAGAGTTAACTTTTCATAATTTAACTAAAAAAAACAAATAATAATTTTCTTGTGGTTAGTTTTTTTTTCCCCCAGTGTGCCTTAAACAGAGTTTACGCGTTTGGCAACTCGCTCCGCGCGCTGTCAAAAAGGTGGCTGCGCGACAAACACGTTTTGTGAGACACCTCAGAGAAAGGTTGTTACTAAAACAAAACACCAAAACATCCCGTAGGGTTAACTCACCCAATGACAGGAACGGTTTGGTTTCCATGTTGGACTCGGAGGTTAGCTCATGCCAGCTGAGGCGACCGCTTTCGGGGAGTTTTTCCTCACAGGCTGCCGCTGCTGCTGCTGGAGCAAAGCGAAGCAGACCTGGGCGCTGCTGCTCCGGCTCTCTGCTGTGACTCCTGCTGCGGGTGGTGGGGCACTCTGGGAGAAGAGCGGAGCTGGCTCTGAGCGGTAAAAGTGACAGCTCGGTGTCTGATGATAGTATCAGGAGATAACCTAATGTTTCTTCCTCTGTTTGCACACTCAGCTGCTGCACTCTCGCTCCTCTCCCCCTCTCTCTCTCTTTCTGTTGCGCACGGTTGTACAACAACTCCAACTACTGGAACAGCGCGGCAGAAAGGGACCTTTGCAGGGGGTACTCCCACTAACGCACACGGCACTGCAGCGACGTAGGCGGATATACTTCAGGCAACCCGAGAGGCTTGTTGCAAAGTTTGAAATGAACGAGAAAAGCGCATCTTGTACAGTTTTCCTGCAGCTTTTCCTTCCACACCTAGAGCCCTTCAGTTTTGCAGTATCAGCTTACTTTCCTGTGCAGGTTGGTGTGCTGAATCATAGTCTTTCAAATTAACATATCTGTCCCTTAAAACTGTCAAGAGCAGAATCATATCTGCTCAGGACTTTGTGCATTCAGATTAAAGATAATCAGCCATGCCTTGCAGAATATCCATTTATTTTCACCTTTTGTTACAACTCATGCACTTGACTTTATTTAGGTAGTATTTTAACATTGCAGGACAAATCAGAGAAGAATTGGGAAAGTTGGTGGAAAAGGATGTTGTTTTAACAATAAATAATGATGTGAAAGTTGTGCATTTTTGTTCACCCTAACTTAAAAAGGAAATCCAGTGCACCTAATTGGTTTAGTACTTTGTAGAACACTATTTTGCCACAACTACAGTTTATTGTTTTGAGGCAAATCTCTTATTTTGCAAAAGAAATGTTTGATGGTTCTTTGTTTTGATGCATTAATTCAAACTCACTCAGATTTAAATGGATTTGTAAGTAAACATTTAGTAGCAAATATTCCTCTTTGTAATTGTACCCCCCCCCCCAATATTAAGAGGTTTGTTCCTGAATAGCCTGGTTCTACCTCACAGTGAGTATGTTTCACATATATGAGTGCGTTTCATCACTACATAGCATTTTGCATGTTTGACTTGAAGCTCAAATCACTCACTCTTATTGGTCTACAGCACTTTCCTCAACTTATTTTTCTGTTGACCTCATGGCTTTTAGGAATCTGCAAACAAGTAGCAAACATTTTCTTCCAGCAACAGCTTTTTTATGTAGTGCATGATGTTCTCATGATATCTGGATTTCTGCAGCTCCTCCAGTGATAATTGGCCTTTTGGTTTCTTTTCTGTGAAACATTAGATTTAGTTTTGTAAATTGATCACATATTAAACGTCTTAATATTTTGTTCCTCATGATGCTGTTTCCTCACTTCAGCCCTCTACCAAAACTATGTACGAAGCTTCAAAGAACAGCAGTGTTTATGTTGAGATTAATTTGCACAACCAGGACTGTGGTCAGGTAATGCCAGTGGAATGGAAGAGGATGGGAGAAGTAAAGAGTAAATGCAAGCCTAAGGCTTCAGATTTGGATAAAAAACAAAACAAAAAAACAGTCAAGATAAGACAGAGATTCATTTTCCCCTTGTTTCCCTTTGCACCAGACTGTAGAGAAGCTGAGCAGCTCCTTTAGAGAAAGACTTCTGCACCCTGCTTGTAAAAAGAATCGCTGCCACAGGTCATTCATCCCTGCTGTAACCAGACTTTATAATGCGACACTACAACGGCAATAACTTGTGCAATGTATAATGTGCAATTACTATTTGATGCACTCTGCAATAACCTGTTTCTCTATATTTGACACCCAGTGCAATAACTTTATATATATAAATATCCATCTATATAAATAACAATGTAAACAACCTGTGCAATAACCCTGTATAATAATCCTACTATTAAAAAAAAAGCTGTCATATGTGGATGCACTGTTTATACTGTATATGTCCATTCATCTTTTTCTTCCTTTGGTCCATTCTTCTTCTTTGACTATTTGAGCCGATGTAACGACTACATTTCTCCACTGTGAGATCAATAAAGTCAATCAATCAATTATAGTTTGTGTTGTTTATCATAAAAAATTCCAATGGGCAATTGTGGTTTAACTGTAATTTAAATATTGTTATAAGAAAGAAGGATTTGTCCTGATTCCCTTTTTATTGCTCTTTTTCTGAGCCCTCTTCATCCCTAAAATAATTTTAATCATTAGTTAGTGCCATCTTTTGAAGTGCTTTGACTAGTTAAGCTGTATTTTTTTATGCTTATTTAGTTTTGAAACAGATTTTCAGAGTTGCATGACTCGCTCCAGTCTGTACAGAGGTGATATGCGCTTACAATTTTTTTAACTTTTGTGGTTATATATACATTTCCACGTATATTCTTTTGAAGAGTTTACCCTGGCCTGGTTTATAGAGGCTGCGTTGAAGGGTTTTTCAGGCTTTTACTAATACATAGAGCTCAGCCTTCTTCAGTTAGCTGTTTCAGTTCTGAAGTTTCTCTTCACTTTCAGTATGAGTCTTTAGGTGGAGTAAGGCTACTACAAAATAAGACTATAGTGAATGTTTCAAGAATAACAGGCATTTTATTCTAAATAGCCTTTGCCTCAGCCTGGCATATTCATGTCAACTGTTTCTTTCAGGTTCACTGTCTCTGTCAAAATAATAATAAAGTTATAATACATTTTTTTTGCTACAAAGCTACAAAATACTTAAAATAGGTTTTCACACATATACATTTAAAAAAGTATTTTTTCATTCATTCTTGAACTTCCTTAGATAAGATCGTGGTGAGTTGTTTTTTTTACATCTCTAAGCCTACTTCAAAATGTGCAGTTTGGGCATTTCCTGTTTTTTCTTTTTTCTTTTATAAATGAGATAGATTGTGAATAAGTAACAAAGTAAGGCCCATTTTACATTTTGTGCACTTCCACACCCGATCCTGCCCACATGAACTAGATGAAAGAACATGAATTGTTTTCGCATAAGGACTGCATATAGAAGTCCTGTAGGCAATGTTAATGTGTCCTGCAGCAGCCTCTAGGCCCCTGGTATAATCTTGCTTTAACTAAGAACTCCAAGGTGTTCCCTGCATGTACTGAGTTATGATGCATAATTAATGCAGTGCATGACACATCTAAGATCAGAGGAAGTCGAGGAAAAAAAAGAAAAATGAAGTCTAATGATTCAAAAAGTATTTATATTTGTGTGTTTGTGTTGCAGATGAGCAAAGCATAATTTCTTCTTTGACTGCCTCATCCTCATTTGTTTTGTCTAAGACTTTCCTCTAAAACAACTAATTTCTTCAGGATGATTCATCACTTTTATCTGTATTTTGCTAACTTCAAATGGCTCTTTTGTCCTGAAACCTTACTTTGTAATGCAAGGCAGACGTAACACGGCCCTTTTAAACACCTCAATCTGGACGGGTTCTCTCATCTTTCCGCTGGATCGAGCTATTCAATCCTGGACTCAGGCCATGATTAATAGCAGTCTGACCCTTCACCTTCATCCACATAAATTCTCTTGAGGGTGTTTTAGCTCTCCTCTGTTCCTTACATTATAAAGCTTTCAAATGCCTGGAGTCTACACTTTCCTCTGAATCCCAATATCTCTTGGCTCAGTTATGTCTTTTGTTTCTCAACTTTATGCTACTTGTTGGGGCCTTGGGGGATGAGGGACCACCACTGTTACATTACACTTTTCTGTGGTTGCTTTGACAGCTCTCCTCGTCTCCCTTCCCCCCCGCTCTTAAAATGGGTGATAAATGGGACAAGGGCCTTTTGGTGTCCTTTATGCCTTAATTATTCACAAGAAGCTCTTTCATAAAAGATATCATGTCCTTGACAGTAATTCAATGGCTTTGACAATGGCTTTGAGTCCACAGGTATCACAGGTAACCTTTATAATGACAAAAAATTTTAATTCTGTAAAAGGTTGTACACTTAGAACAATAAACAGGAGTTTTACTTGTCTATTTTTAAAATGCTTAAGCAAAAAAGATCCCCCAAATCCTTAGTTTATCTCTTAAACATAAAGTCATGCAAACATTCCTGAAACTTGGTCAGATTTGACTTTTGAGAAGAAGCACCAAAAGCATTTTGAAATCATTAGGTCTTTTGCACCGTCCACCCCTACGGAAGGTCCCAATCGTCACATCCCGGGTTCACATTCCTTAACCCCCGGGGTCAGGGCTTTGTCTTAGGATAGTACTGAGGCAACTTCCCCTGCGGAAATCAACACGAGCTGACAAAGTGAATGCAAGAACTGAGCACAGAGGCAGGAAAGAGGAGCACCATAAGTGTAACAAATATGTGCCCAAAAACCTTGAGAACGTATCGCACTGTTAGTTTTGCATTTGTTTTTCTGTTTTCATACTCATAAAGTTAGATTAGGACAAAGTAGTGTCAATTGAAACATTGCCAGTGCAAAATGAGTTTGAGACCTGAAATCAAATTCCAAATAGGATGAGTAAATTATTTTTTTTGGTACCTGGAAATAAAAGAACTTTGATATGGGGCAGATGTACAAACATTTCAACCGAACAGTTTATTAAAATATTTCAACCTAACAGTTTATGGTTCAAGGTTTACAATCTGTGGTGTTTAGTGCATTCACTTCTTTTTAGCTTGAGTTTATCTAAGTCTATATGCAGTTGTGCTTGAAAGTTTAAACATTCTTCAATCATAGAAAGGATAAATTCACGCTAGAAATTGAAATAACAATGTAAACATAGGCAGCCAAGGTTTCTTAAGAAAATGAAAATAGTTATATTTACATTGATGACACAGTTTCATTTTTATCATTTGGCTGCTTTGGAGTGAGTCTGGCAATTTAAAACATGTTAAAATTTACAGTTTGCATTTGAGTGAGGACCAGTTTGGTGGGATGCCACTGTCTAATACTCTTCTCATTCTTATTGACTATCTAAACATCTTGGGCTGAAAGTTTGGAGCTGTGTACAATTTGAGCGTCTCCAAATCCTTAAATTTTTATTAAATTTATGCATCATATTGTGTCTCTGAATGCTGCTTATAACATAGAATCGTGTTTAAAAACATGTCTGCCTGGCATAGCTAGAGATTAAATGTGAGTGGTGGTCTAAAGGAATTAGAAAGGGTTTGGGTGGTTTTATCCTGATATGACCTAATCGAAAATTATATTGGCAATATGGATTAATTAAATGATAGAGTCTTCTCAGAATTAAACAAAATACAAAGAAATGTGTCTTCTTAATATTATAAAACCTAGAATTTAGATATATATATATT